AATCAGTTGGACTTTGTCAAAATTAAATTTTACTCTTTGAAAGATACTATTATGAATATGAAAAATGCAAGCCAGAGAATAGAAGTATTTGCACTACATACATCTAATAAAGGATTTGTATCAAATACATGTAAGGAACTCTTCAATAATAAGGCTGGACATGGTAGCTCATGCCTGTAATCCTAGCACTTTGGAATGCTGGGGGGAACAATCACCCAAGACCAGGAGTTCAAGACCAGCCTGAGCAACATATTGAGACCCTGCCTCTACAAAAAATTTGAAAAAATTAGCCAGGTGTGGTGGCATGTATCTGTAGTTCCAGTTTGGGAAACTGAAAGCAGGAGGATCACTTGAGGCCAGGAATTTGAGGTTGCAGTGAGCTCTGATGATGCCATTGCACTCTAGCTTGGGGAACAGAGACTCTGTCTCAAAATAATAATAATATGACGAAAAACCCAGTTAAAATATGGGCAAAACAAAAACCAAAACCAAACACTTCACAAAGTTTTGGAATGACCAGTAAGACATGAAATATGTTCAACATTTTTGTCAGGTAAATACAAATTAAGATATGAGATAATTGATAGAGACAGCGCCGGGGCAAGTGAGAGCCGGACGGGCACTGGGCGACTCTGTGCCTCGCTGAGGAAAAATAACTAAACATGGGCAAAGGAGATCCTAAGAAGCCGAGAGGCAAAATGTCATCATACGCATTCTTTGTGCAAACTTGCCGGGAGGAGCACAAGAAGAAGCACCCAGATGCTTCAGTCAGCTTCTCAGAGTTTTCTAAGAAGTGCTCAGAGAGGTGGAAGACCATGTCTGCTAAAGAGAAAGGAAAGTTTGAAGATATGGCAAAGGCGGACAAGGCCCGTTATGAAAGAGAAATGAAAACCTATATCCCTCCTAAAGGGGAAACAAAAAAGAAGTTCAAGGATCCCAATGCACCCAAGAGGCCTCCTTCGGCCTTTTTCTTGTTCTGTTCTGAGTATCGCCCTAAAATCAAAGGAGAACATCCTGGCCTTTCCATTGGTGATGTTGCAAAGAAACTGGGAGAGATGTGGAATAACACTGCTGCAGATGATAAGCAGCCTTATGAAAAGAAGGCTGCAAAGCTGAAGGAAAAGTATGAAAAGGATATTGCTGCATACCGAGCTAAAGGAAAGCCTGATGCAGCAAAAAAGGGAGTCGTCAAGGCTGAAAAAAGCAAGAAAAAGAAGGAAGAGGAGGAAGATGAGGAAGATGAAGAGGATGAAGAGGAGGAGGAAGATGAAGAAGATGAAGATGAAGAAGAAGATGATGATGATGAATAAGTTGGTTCTAGCGCAGTTTTTTTTTTCTTGTCTATAAAGCATTTAACCCCCCTGTACACAACTCACTCCTTTTAAAGAAAAAAATTGAAATGTTAGGCTGTGTAAGATTTGTTTTTAAACTGTACAGTGTCTTTTTTTGTATAGTTAACACACTACCGAATGTGTCTTTAGCTAGCCCTGTCCTGGTGGTATTTTCAATAGCCACTAACCTTGCCTGGTACAGTATGGGGGTTGTAAATTGGCATGGAAATTTAAAGCAGGTTCTTGTTGGTGCACAGCACAAATTAGTTATATATGGGGATGGTAGTTTTTTCATCTTCAGTTGTCTCTGATGCAGCTTATACGAAATAATTGTTGTTCTGTTAACTGAATACCACTCTGTAATTGCAAAAAAAAAAGTTGCAGCTGTTTTGTTGACATTCTGAATGCTTCTAAGTAAATACAATTTTTTTTATTAAAAAAAAAAAGATATGAGATAATCATTAGAATAATTAAAATTAAAAAGACTGGTGTACAAAGTGTCAGTGATAATGTGGAACAACTAAAATGTCTGTACACTGCTAGGAGAAATGTAAAGGTATATTCACTCTGGAAAATTCTTTGGCAGGTTCTTGAAGTTAACCATACCCTTACCAAACAACCCAGAAATTCCATTTTTAGGTATTTACCCAAGGAAATGAGAACACAAAAAGACTTATACATGAATGTTTATAGGAGATTTATTCACAGAAGTCAAAAACAGGAAAGAGCGTAAATATCCACCAATGGGTGAGTGGATAAACAAAATGTATATTTGTACAACGGACTACTACTTAGCAATAAAAAGAAAATGAACTAGGATACACATAACCATTTGGCTAAATCTCAGAATCGTTATACTAACTGAAATAAGCAGATACTATATGATTGTATTTATATCAAATTCTAGAAAATGCATACTGATTTATAATGACAAAAAACAGACCAGTGGTTCCTTTGGGCCAGGAACAGAGGAAGGGATCTTTTGGGGGTGTTAGAAATGTTCTGGATGTTGATTGTGGTGTTGGTTTCACAGACACTTGTATCTGTGGAATTCATCAATTTTTACACTTTAACAGTAAAGTTTATTGTATTCAATAATGTTGATAAAATAAAAGAAATTGGGCAAAGGAAGACAAAAAATAGTTAAATGCATAAAACTTTCACTTTATTATTTTCAGTATACGTTTTCTAAGCTGTTCATATCCTTATTAACCTTTTTCATCCTACCTTATAAAAAGCACTGTTTTAACCTACATTTATATACCTCGCAATGCCAAATTGTGGCTTCTTAAGAAAGGTATTATCGAGAAAAGGTAGCTTTGTCCTGGGCAATAAGAAAAGGAAATCATTGAAGACTTTAGTTATAGCAAAATGGGGCAATAGAAGTAGAAGGCAGCTTATAGATATTCTGATTATATTAGTTATTTATATATGTAATGTCCTTTTCAAGGAAACTGAAAACAGTAACGGGGTATCCTTGTTTGAGCATGTGCTTCACACAGGCAAGCCCTTATAATAGCTGTATGACATTTTCTCAAAAACATTTGCTTATTGGCAAAATAGCTAGTCAGCCATACATGATTTTTATCAAAATTATGGGGGTCTGATGGCATCATATTTTAATTTACACATCCATAGTTGGTGCTGCTAAAAATGTATGTACATGTATATTTCTACAAGTTCTTCAAAAAGTCTTTAAAGAAAACTTTCTGATAAGATCATAAGCATCAAACGTTTGTTAAACTATTTTGCTATGTATCTATTCAATGGTCAGTTGTAATGCCTGAGAATTATGTTCTGGGCCTGATAGCACAATTTATAGCAGGATCCAGTCTCTTTCACCATTGTTTAGAGGTGCAGCCATTTATGCTTCCCTGCTGCATAATAATACTTGTCTCAGGTTTCAGAAGACATGTTTGGCAGCCTGGTGGGACATTGCCTGAACCCTTGTCTCAAGCTGGGTAAAGTACACAATTGGAGCTGAAATCTCAACATAAATTTTAAATGATTTCATGTAAAAGGACAAACTTATTGTCAGTGAACTTTACCATGATCCCAGCAGCAGGAATTTTATTTCTAAAACACTAAGTGATCTTTTGCCAGGTATCCTACCCAGTTTATTAGTTGGCACTAAAATAACATAAATTAATTGGCAATTTATGGTGTAAACTCAATGAAAAGTTATGATGTTCAGTTTGATTACTGTTTTTCAAGTGAAACCTTGTTAAATTTTGTAGAGATTTAAACACAAATACATACAGTCATAAAAAGTATAATGGGATTCTTCAATTTAATTTACTTGACATTTCTTGGGCATCTGTAATGAGCCTGGCACTATACTAGGTGTATTTCTTTGGTACTCCCTACAGATTTTATTATTTCTTTCAATAGGAATTGTCAAGGAGTACCATATCATTTTTGCTGCTTGAATAGTTTCTTTTCATCCCTGAATTGAAATCACCATTGATTGAGTGACATGAGTATGGAGAAAAAGTTAAAGGAAATAATATTGAATTTTGGTATCTGCTCACCCTGGACATAGCTCCATGAAATGGTACATGGGTACCTTAGAAGTGTGTGCATGTTGTGTATGTGTCAGTCTGGAAGCATGTGCAAGAGAGACAGACCTCAAACTACCTTCTTTCTCCAAACATTAAAATCTGTTCTTTCTTCTCAACGCTTCATGGGGGCAGTGGGGAGAAATACTTAGGAGAAGATAAGTAGGCTCAGGAGCCCACACTGAAGCTCTACAGTAGGGCAAGCCTGAGTTTTCCAATGTTAAAGCCTCTGTGTAGGATTGAGTTTGTGCCCACATGCCCTTGGAGACCGAAAGACTTTTCTTCGGGCAGGTCCTTGAACCCCAGTGTGTTTCTGAAGGGAAAAGAGAGAAAGGGTTAACATTCTGATTTCATTTCCAGTTGACAGTGACCCAGTAATACCCTTCCAAGGAACAATCAGGTGGAAAGGCTCATTGCTAAGGAAGGAAGAGCCCATCCCTGATTGGACTATACCCTAAATTCCTTAGAGGGGACCATGCCTTTTCCCATTTTATCTCCAGTGTTTGACACAGGGTAGGTGTTTATTAACTGCTTAATATGTGTACAGTTAAGCGAATAAGTCCACTCTTCCCTGCTGTCACTTGAATTCAGTTTTCTTCATTCTGTTCCTTCCCTTCTCACCTGCTTTCTTTTTCATTTGGAACTTTTGTAATGGTTGATTTCTTTTTATGACATCTATCTGTCTTACTGTATAAGCTCCTTGCCTGTGAACATTGGGTGATGTTCTCATATTACCTTTCCCCAGCACTTGGAAATGTGCCCGGAACATGGTAGAACCAAATACAGAATTGTTGACTTACTTGTGAAATTAACTAGCAGAAACTAAAATTTCTCAAATGGAATTAACCATATAAATCCAAAATACTGAAATTATTTCAGTTAGTATGCTGAGTATAATTTTTCTTCTTTATTGGATTTTAAGCATTAGTGAGAAAAACTGCTTTTGAAGGTTGTTAGCACCATGAGAGTATCGTTTTTGAAATGTTTGACCTGAAGATTTTCTTTATCAAAATTAATGTGTTTATCTCTATATTCATTGCTAACTATTGCTATACCTAATTATTCCATATAAATAGACTGTTGCATTTTGTTTTCTCTAATATCAATGAAGGTACCATTGGATACAACCAGCGAAACAGAATTGATACTCTCATGTATCTACTAGCATATCCACAAAAACCCATGGTTAAAACAAAAACCATTGAATTGATAGAGTTTGAAAAATTGCCAGCTGGACAGAATGCGACAGTTGCTGTGATGAGTTATAGTGGCTATGATATCGAAGATGCTCTTGTTTTAAACAAAGCCTCCTTGGACAGAGGTAAGTGAATTTTCAAAGCTGTAACACCAAAGATGCTTTTTTCAGAGTTAGATATGGGGATGATTAATGTAAAAATCACTTGATGTCAAAACATTAACATCAGTTTCAAGCGATGTGAATTTTGTAATATATAAACAGGAGACGGTTGTGTTTTGGTGTGAGCTTTTAAAAAAAATGAGTATTATATTGAGATAATTTGTTAAATGTACTACTACAGAATCTTTTTTTCTTTGTTATTTTATTGGTGACTTGAGACCGTTCCTCAAAGAAAAAAAGTAAGAATTTGTTTATTTTCCAGCATGAGTTATAATTTAATAATTGTAAGTTTTTTTGTAAGTAAGTTTTTTTAATATATCTAGTGATATATTCAATAACAAACCTATTTGAGAGGCAGTAGCAATATTTGGGTATAACAGGCTGTTTTTTATTTTTATAGCCCCATAATCTATTGCACCCTTTTTCTTGGCCAAATGACAAAAGTTAAAATACACACATACAGGCCGGGCGCGGTGGCTCACGCCTGTAATCCTAGCACTCTGGGAGGCCGAGGCGGGCGGATTGCTCAAGGTCAAGAGTTCAAAACCAGCCTGGGCGAGACCCCGTCTCTACCATAAAAATAGAGAGAAATTAATTGGCCAACTAATATATATAATATAAAAATCAGCCGGGCATGGTGGCTTGTGCCTGTAGTCCCAGCTACTCAGGAGGCTGGGGCAGGAGGATCGCTTGAGCCCAGGAGTTTGAGGTTGCTGTGAGCTAGGCTGACGCCACGGCACTCACTCTAGCCTAGGCAAGAAAGCGAGACTCTGTCTCAAAAAAAAAAAAAAAAATACACACATACAAACCCTGACTTGTATATAGTTTTTATACCTTTCTTTCTCAGTTTTTGACAGTTTACTTTTGTAAGTCACCACTTCATGGTTTGTTAGCCATCACCTGATCTGAAGTCTGACTTCTCTATTCATAATCTCTATTTCTCTTTTTCTTCTCTGGCATACCCACTATGCCTTCCCCTTCCCTCTTTGTAGTTGCTAGGCAGCCATGATAGTACTCCTAGACATGTGTCTTTGGCATTAATGTTGGCTGCACTTAATTTATGCCTCTTTTTTTCCTGCAAATGACAACAGCCGTGCTTTAAAACTAGATGTTTTCCTTTCTGATCAACTGGTAACGTTTATGTGGAAATCTGAAGACTTTGTGATGTCTGTCAGAAACTCCGCAACCCAATTTAATGATCTGAGTTTACTGTCCCCTAGCTTTTAAGCTACCACCTGTAAATAAAATGTCTATTAACACTTAGAAGAAAACACTTCTTGATTTCAGGCAGTTCAGGTTCACACTGCACTCCATTGTGTTGCAGTTAATGTCTGTTGTATGAAATTTCAAGATCATGTAGTGTTTCCAAACCAGCTAGCACTCTGAGCCAAGTTTATTACGGCTATACACAATTTACTAGGAACCATAATGACTAAGACCTTGCTCAAAGACATACAAATGTCTTCTATCATCCAATTGTTGAAACTTGCTGTTCCATTGCATGATCACCTTTATATTTAAAAAATGACATTAGAGAACTGAGATTTTATTTAGAAATCCACTTTTACCTGATTGTTTTTGTAAGCTCACATTCTTAGATTTCTGCTTTTGGTGGAGAATTTTAAGTGAAGGATTTTATAGCCATGCATTTATTTCATCAGTAATACCTGACATTTAATCCTGAGACATTTTCTATTTAAATAAACTCTGACATGGCTGAGTATATCCTGAAGAGATTAGAGAGAGAATCGCATTTAAAATAACTGCTTAGCCAAAGGGAAAAAGAAAGAAATGCAACCACGGAATCTTGGGAAATGATATTTAGTGTTGGAAGGAATGATAGCTCTTTTGGGTGACTCTACAGCTAATGAATTTCTTTTTGAGGGATTCGGTGGCTAGATTTTTTTGCCCCATCCAAGGGTTTTTCTTCTGTCCATTTTGCTTATTTTTCTTAATGTTTAGGTTGTCAGTTGCTCTCAGGGCTTTTCCCTCATCCACTAGATAAATATGATCTAAAAATGTAGTTAAAGTAAACACTAATCTTTACAGCAGAGCCAAAAGGTCTCTTCCATTAAAATCATTTGATTATTTCCTCTTTCATTCTCTTCTCTGGAGAAAAATTATTTTTTTTTTTTGTTTGCTTGTTTGAAACTTCCTCTAAATGCCAAAATTAGAAAAAGGAAAACTTTCCAAGGAAGATTAGCAGAAGTTATGCACCAAAGGATGTATACCAAGAGTCCTGGCTCAAGAGTCAGTGGACTTAGTCTATTCCCAGCTCTGCTACTAACTTACTGAGTGACCTTGGCCACTTAATTTCTATGGACTCCACTCATAGTGCCTGTGAAAGAGAGGGGTTAAGCCAGGTGATTTCTAAGGCTCTTTCCAATTCTGATATTCTGTGGAGATTCCAGTGTTTATATAAATAGTAGGTAGAAGAGGGGTCCTGAGCCATTTCTTGAGATAATCAGATACTTGCCTGGTTTGTACTAGTCTCAGATTATCCAAATGTAGAGCAGATTTTAGTTTTGGGGAAGGGTGAGATTATTGAATAACACAAATGCATGTTTTCTTATAGCTTTGTATTACTGATGGTTCTGATACCCATTTTGGTTTCATTTTAGGCTTTGGGCGTTGCCTTGTGTATAAAAATGCTAAATGTACATTGAAACGATACACCAATCAGACTTTTGATAAAGTGATGGGGCCTATGTTGGATGCTGCTACAAGGAAACCCATCTGGCGACATGAAATTTTAGATGCAGATGGTATTTGTTCTCCAGGTAAAAGCCTTTTAAAAAAATTTATGATTTTTGAAATTATGAAAGTTATTCAATAATATTTATGAGTATTTGATAAACAGAGCAGAAAAAAAAAACAATCTATAATACCACTAACCATATTCAACCAGTGTGGTCATTTTTGATGAATTGTGTTCCAGTGTGTTTTCTTATACCTTATGTTTTTACATGGCAGTAATCTATGCTAATTATAATTTTCTAGTTATAATTTTGAGTTGTAGAAAAACCACTTTAGGGAAATATTTAGAATAGGATCAGGTCCCTGCATCTACATTGGTATTTCTTCATTTATGCATTTGCTTACAAACTACTTTGGAATCTTCTTCCCCTAAAAGATGTGACTCCATTATAATTGCAAACTTGTAATGAATTTTGTTGGTGCAACCCATGGACCCTGCCCTTATGGCTCTTACAAGCTAGTACAGGAGACTAGCATTAATCAAAGGATTACACACAAACATATGTCAAATTACAACCAGGTTAAGGAATTTTATAGGTGGCTATGAGGCCATCTTATAACAAGGGGATTTGGCCTAGTTAGGAATATCAGTGTAGCCTTCCCCAAAGAAGTAAGCTGAAATCTGAAGGACTGGTAGGAATTAACTAAAGAAGAGAGACAGGGTGTGTATTCTAAGCAGTGAGAGAAGCTTGTGCCAATATCCTGAAGCTTGATGGTTGAAGGATGTGAACGAAGGCCAGTGTGGCTAAAACGAAGAGAGTACAAAAGATCATGAATTAGAGGGGTTGGGGGTAGGGACTAAGTGAGGCCTTGCAGACATGTTACTGTTTTCATTATGATCGTAGAAGCAATGATATGATCAAATATGCATTTTGAAATGATCATTCTGGCTATGGTGTGGAGAAAGGATTAGAAGAGTGCCAAAATAGAGGTGGACCAGGCACCGGGAGTTGTGGTGAAGGTGGAGAGAACATGGTGGTTGGGAGTGAAATCCACATGACCTTGTTGTGGTTGGCCTGTGGGTGATGAGTGCTGTATCAGGCCATGGTTTCACATGGCACACGGTGCATGTGTTTCCTCCTTCACTCTGCTTTTGTTTCTTGAGAATTTCTCTCACCCTTAACACTGGTCAGTGTTTCTTGGAAAATAAGTACAGTGACAGTATGACAGAAGTTGGTCTTTGAGCTTACTATGAAGAGATACAAAGCAAAAATGAAAATATCAGCAAAACCAAAGAAATGTTTTGATTTCCTCATTGTCCAAGTTACATTGGTGGTGACTTATTACTGGTTGAAATAACTATAAGTAAAAATAAGTGACCTAAACCTGTTCTAACACCCTAAGAGATATATAAAATTGCTATTTACTGAGATGATGTTTCTCTTGTTAATGTGGTCCCCTAAAATATTTTCTTAATTTTATACATACTGTGGTCTTAATATGTGATTTTTAAAAATGGCTTCCAAAATTACATGGGCCTTGTTGAATTCTAGTACTTACTGTATGGATTCTTTTTTTTTTCCATGTCTGGATGTCATGAACCAAGTCTAACCACATAGTTTTATGGCCCAGTTATTTTGTTGTTGCTGTTGTTTAGAGATGCAGTCTTGCTGTATTGCCCAGGCTGGACTCAAACTCATAGGCTCAAGCAATCTTTGTCTCAGTTTACTGAGTATCTGGGACTACAGGTGCAAGCCACTGTACCTGGCTCCCAGTAATCTTTGTATTCCACACAGATGATAATAATATGTCTAACCCTCTTCTTCTTAGGTGAGAAAGTAGAAAACAAACAAGTGCTTGTAAATAAGTCCATGCCCACAGTGACTCAGATTCCTTTGGAAGGAAGTAATGTGCCACAGCAACCCCAGTACAAAGATGTGCCCATAACGTACGTATTGGTTATGTCTTGGTAATAATGTAGGAAGGTTAGAGAAAGAGAGGAATGGGGGAAATTATAAGTTAGGTCTGGATGCGTTGGAGAACTAAAAATAACAATTTTGGGTACTGTTACTTGTCATGAAAACAGCATGGCATAGAAGATAGGAATGTGGAATGATGTAGACCTTCTAGGCTGTGGAATGATGTAGACCTTCTAACCTGGATTTGAGGTATAGACCAAATAGGCAGGGGTTCCAGGTGGAAGGAACAGCAAGATAAAGGGCACATGGCATAAAAGTGCCTGAGTTTGGGAGGATTAGTGCAGCTTGCTGGGTTGTGGAAGAGTTGGAAATTTATTTTGTAGACAGTGACATGATCAGATTTGTGTTTAAAAAAAAGAAATCTGGACATAGCATGGCATCACCAATATATTAGAATATAGCCATGTTCTAGCACTGGTTCTGTTGTATTTTTTCTTCTATGAGTAAGTAAGAGATTTAAATACTTTTAGCCTCAATTTTTTCATCTGTACAATGAAAGAGACTTGTTAATCTCTAAATTTCCTCTAAGCTCTAAAATATAATAATATGTGAAACTTAATGAGATAAGCCAATGATAGTCACCACATTGTGATATATAAACCAAACTAGGCTGGGCACAGTGGCTCATGCCTGTAATCCTAGCACTTTGGGAGGCTGAGGTGGGAGGATCACCTGAGGTCAGGAGTTCAAGACTAGCCTGAGCAACATAGCAGGACCCTATCGCTACCAAAAAAAAAAAATTAGCCAGGCATGGCAGCATGTGCCTATAATCCCATCTACTCAAAAGGCTGAGGTGCAAGAATCCCTTGAGCCCACGAGTTCGAGGCTGCAGTGAGCTATGATTGCACAGGTGCACTCTACTCTGAGAAACAGAGTGAGAGACCCTGTCTCAAAAAAAAAAAAAACTAGAAAAGATAAAATATCTAACCTAGCCAAGGTGAACCAGATTAACCAAGTTCAGGAGGTGGGGGTGAAAGTGACATAGGAGAACTGGATTCCCAAGCTGTAAAGACAGTTTTAAAATCCATTCAATACACAGTTGTGGATGCTTGCTTTGTGTCAGCCACCCTGCATCGTGTGCCAGTGATATGAAATAAGCCACAAGCCGTGTTAACAAAGAGTCACATCTAGTTGGCAAAAATCTCCACCCAAAAAAGTACAGTAATTACCATGTTCATAATAGCTTAGTTGAGAACTTACACCGTACATCTTACTGTTCCAGTAAGTTTACTCTGTTCCAGAGCATGTGTTTGCTCAGTTAATCCTACTAGCATCCCGTGAGCTACATTCTCTCAGTAGCTCATTAAAAAGATGTGGAAACTGAGGGAAGGATAGGTTAAGTAACAGACAAGGGTAGAGCCAGGATTTGAACTCAGACAGTTTGCCTCCAAAGCCCCATGCTTGCCCACTGTGCTAAATACAGCAAAGCACTGTGGGTGCCATGGATTTGTCCCTGGAGTCAGAGCAGCAAGGTGGAAACAGGCAGTTCTGTTTGGGGGAAGAGTCCGGTCCCTTGCACTGAGTCCTACAAAACCAAAAGCTATTTTAAGATACAAAGGTGGTTATACCATTGGCTTTCTTCCTGGACTAAAGGAGGATATCTTTTTCTATTTCTATTCTATATCTTATTCTATTATATTCTTTTTCTATTCAAAACTCTTCTCCTTTCAAGTTCTTAATTTTGTCCACTCTTTGCAAAAAGACCTTTCTCTGTCCAATTTTCTCTTTTATCTTCCCATATTTTCAACCTGTTTTCTATTGATTCCTCCCCACAGGCTAGGAAATGCACTCAAACTTCTTATCTTTAAAAGAAAATAAAAGCTTTTTCTGGACTTTGTGTTCCTTTCTAGCTACCACTCTGTTCCTCTTCCTTTCACTGCAAAAATCCTCAGAAGAGAGGTCTGTCATCTCTGTTTCTACCTCTTTACCTTCCACCCACCCCCTAGCCCTCCAAGCTATCCTCCTTTCTCTTCATTCCACTGAAATGGCTCCAGAAGAGGTCACCAACAGCATCCTATTTGTTTAGTTCATTCAAGAAATATTTTTTGAGCACTAACACTATGTCAAGAACTGTTCCAGGTGCACAGGATAGTGCAGTGAACAAAATTGACAGCAGTCTCTGTCCTTATGGGGTTCACACCCCAGTGAGGGAAGACAGGGCATAAGCAAACAAAACCCATAGTTGGTCATATCTGTCAAATTCAATGGAGTCTTCAGTCCAAATCTTCCTGTGGGCCGAGACTGTGTCTCTTTTGTTTACCTTGTACCTAGTGCCTGGCACATAGTTGATAATCAGTAAATAGTTATTAAGTGAATGGGTGGATTTCATGTGACTTTTCTATAGCATTTGACACCACTGACCCCTCTTTCCTTGATGTTGTAACACCACTGCTGCCTGGCCAGTGGCTCTTGCACCTTGTTTGGATGAGCTCCCCCATTCCTAGCATTGCAGTCACCCTCTTTTTTGCTGATGACTACAGTTAGACATTTGTTAATACCTGGTGTTGGCTCTGTACCAGCACTTGGATAGCTTTACAGGGGCCCCAAACCCAGCCCTAAATGGGCTCCTCCTCTGGATGCCTCTCGGTGAGTAGCACCACCAGCCAGCCAGTTGCCAACAGCACAAACCTGACTCCTTTTCTTTACCTGCCACACAGACCAGTCCTATAGGTCTGCAGTCCCCAACCCCCAGAGCCTAGGTCTGGTACCAGTCTGTGGAAAAATTGTCTTGCATGAAACTGGTCCCTGGTGCCATAAAGGTTGAGGACCACTGCTATAGGTCCTGTCTTCTTAGAAATTTTCTTATCCTCCCCCTCTTCCCTTCTGTCTGCTGTTGCTGTCCAGGTTCTGGCCCTCTGCTCCCAGACTCTTAGTTATTATTTACTGTTCATCTGCCTTCAGCATTGTACTTCTCTGTTCTCTGCATGCCACTGCCGGGGTGGTTCTTCTCAATTACTCCTCTGGTCATGTTACTTTCTTAGATAAATTTATTAGGTAAATTATTAGGTAAAAATTGAGTAAATTAAGTAAATCTTGGAATGACAATGTGGCCTGTGAGAAGAGCATCCTCGGCACACCTCTCTAGCCTCCCCACACACTAGGCCCTGTGTTTCCAGGAAGTCACCTGTTAACTCTCCAAAACAGACCATCCTACATCAGGCTTCATGTATTTTTTCAGGCTGCTCCCTCTGCCTTCTAAGATCTCACCTCCAGGCTTACCTCCTCTGTAGCAGGGCTTGACAGTCTGACCCTCCCTGCTGCTACTGTCATTGCCCCAGCATAGCTAACTGTTGTCTCCCTTGGGCCTTTCCTGTTCTCCATATTGTTGATGTCCTTGTCACACTTACCCCCTCTCTTCCTTTAGTGGATTGAAAGCTCCTTTTGCACAGGAGCTATTTCCACTTAGTCTCTGTGTGTCCAGAGCCTACAAGGATCTGATGCATAGTAGACTCTTTTTCTACTGAGCTTTAAAAAAAAAAGAATAGCCTTTTTTTCCTCAACCACAGAATTTCAGGGAAAAAAATAGTAGACTCTTAATAATGTTTGTTATGTGAAAACAGATAAGAGAAGAGGCAACGTGTATGACAAAATTAATAATGGAAAAACTGGGTAGGTAAAGACTTTGGAGACTTCAGTTCAAACCCCAGTTCTACTTTGTCTGAGTCGTGTGCCTTTGGACAAGTTACTTAACATCTATAAACATCAGTTCTCTTCTATAATAAGGAAATAACGATATGGGACTGTTGTGAGGATTAAATTGAGTATGCCTGCCTCGTGTAAATGTATAGGACTGTAAAAGGGAAATTGTAAAATTTGAATTTAATGATTAAAAAATGAAAGTCATTTTTCAGAGCCCAAGATGAGAATGTCAAGATATTCTGTGGTAGGCATTAAATTAAATATGACATGTGGGTGATAAGTTCACAAAAGGTAGTTTGAAAACTCTGTTTTAGTGATTTTCTCCTACTATTAGCTACAAAGGAGCAACAGATTCATATATTGAAAAAGTAATGATATCGTCAAATGCTGAAGATGCTTTTCTGATCAAAATGCTGCTGAGACAGACAAGGCGTCCAGAGATTGGAGACAAATTCAGCAGTCGTCATGGACAAAAAGGTAAATTGTGTCATTTCTCAACCTGATTATAAAACTGAATATGCTAAAATATATATTAACCCATATGTAAGAAATGTTTTATAACATCCTTCATTTAAAAAAGTTAGCATGTTTAGAAAATTATTACATTGTAATCAAAATTACTCCTGTTTAATTTCTTAGGTTAACCTGTTTATATTTCAATGATATTTAAAAATATATGGTAGGCTTGCTTCTCTATTGCTACTCATTTCATTCTCCTGCAACTGCTATGTCCAAAATTATAAATACATTCTAGATGATGTACCTATTGAAGTGCATGTGGTTGCTCAAAGAATAAATAGTAATAACTATTCTTTTTTCTGAAAGGTACATCTTTAAACTACTCTATGTTCTGTTGGGTCATAGTATCATAGGATGTCAGCATTAGAATATACTTCAGAATTATTTGCCCCTTTATTTAACAGATGAGGAAGTTCAGACCCTGCATACTCAGTAGCTGAGGTGGTATTAGAACCTGGGTCTCCTAACCCCAATGCAGTGCTTTGTTTGTCTCCTACATCTGGTCCCGTTGGCAAGCCTCGCTCTTTTCATTGATGGTTACTGCTAAGTTTTTATCCATTTGTGGTTTTGTTTCATTTTGTTTATCTTTAAATAACATAACACTATATCACAGTTGATTAACTCATCATCAGTAGGGTCTCTTTTAGTCAATATATATAGTCTTTAAAGTGAAAAATTCGTCCTAGGGCTTGAAATTGGCTCTGCCTGCCACTTAGCTTTAAGAACCACAGCAGTGGTTTAACACTTTGTAGCACTAACTGTGTGCCTGCCAATGTTCTCATCACATTACATGTACTAACTCATTTGATTCTCACACAGTCCTCAAAGGTAGGTACCATTATTATCTACATTTTATAGATGAGGAAACAGAGGCACAGAGAGATTAATAGCTTGCCCAATGTCACACAGTTGGTGGTAGAAATGGCTTTTGAACTCTGGAAGTTTGGATCCAGAGTCCTAGCTCTTAACTAACTACTAAGCCATCCTGACTGTTAGGCAGTTAGCATTGTGCCTGGCACATAATAAGTGTCCAGAAAGTGGCAGCATCATGATCATTAACATTGACCATTATTCTTTTGACATATACTTGAGATATATCTCTTCTATAATACTTTTTAACCTTAACTCTCACCTTAGCTTATAAATCACACTAGTATGATAACTTCTTGTTTTTAATTTATTGGCTTGAAGATAACTGCACATTTTGTTCCTACTGAATTAAACTTTATTTGCCAAACAAGTAGATCCAGTATTACAGTTTGTTTGATTAAGTGTATTCAGACTTAGTTGCCATGCTGCTAATGTACTATTTCAGACCAAGATATTCTTTCATCAAAAGTATTTCTAGTTAGTGAGAAGCAAGATTATTTTAGCCTGTCAATATTTTTAGGAAAAAATTTGTTCCATCTGTTAATGTGAATTCGACATCTCTAATTCATACAGTTCCCTAAGATACCAATTCTTTTTTTTTTTTTTTTTTTTTTTTTTTTTTTTTTTTTTTTTTTTTTTTTTTTCCCAGAAATGTTCAGCCGCCAATTCCAAACCCCTCCCATCCCAAAAATCCCATTTTTTTTTTTTTTTGCGCCACCATGCCCAGCTAATTTTTTCTGTATATTTTTAGTTGGCCAATTAATTTCTTTCTATTTTTAGTAGAGACAGGGTCTTGCTCTTGCTCAGGCTGGTTTCAAACTCCTGACCTTGAGCGATCCTCCCGCCTCGGCCTCCCAGAGTGCTAGGATTACAGCCCGGCCCCTAAGATACCAATTCTTAATGGCCTTTGAGTGCTTTTTAAAATACCTTGAGGTTCTAATGGTTTATATGGCTTGCCAGTAAAAATCGGATTGTCTGTATTGAAACGATTTCTCCTTTTCTCTTGGTTGACAGTTGCTGAGCCATTCTTACTCTGGGTTAACCATAGCCTCATTTATAGTTTCTATGTTAATTGATGTAACTATTACCTGGACAAGTGCAAAGTTTGATACTCTTCTTATAAAATGGTGACACACTGGAAGGTTTACAGGAATGCACAACCTAAGAGAATATCCCCATTCTCAATTTACATGCCTCAGATAACCCAAATCCTTGTGTCTTTATCTCACCAGAGTATTGTGCAAAGAGTTACAGACTAGCAGATTGATTTCACTGATTATCTAATGTGTCCTAACACCACTGAACTTCTTGAGGGTAGTGACCATGTCCTTATATTCTCCATAAAGCCTAATAAAGCCTTTCTTATAGATAGTAGATAGTGGGCAAATATGAATGAATGAATGAATTGAAGGTGGGAGAAGTAATAAGGAGCAAATTCTCTACTCCTAATGGATTGATTTTACTCAGGTTTTAATCTAAATACTATGTGAGTACATGCATATAAAAAAAGCAGTACTTTTGAAAATGAAAAACCTCCTAATCAGTAAGATGCTATAAATACAGACCTCTAGGTAAAATATCATGAAGTCTTTGTGCTATAGCATTTTTTCAGACAGTTAATGTGATAGGGACATTGTTCATTGACAGAAACGGTTTCTTATTTGCAGTGATCTGAAATAACAGATTTTAGAGATCTGTTCAATCTCGGGGGCTTTGACTTATACATCTCTTTACGAAACTGAAGAAATCCTCTTGGGTTTAGCTGACCTTTCACTCGTAGTGAGGAGATTGTCTTGCCACTTTTTCTTTTCCAGATGGCTTTTAATCCAAGGGTAAAAACCTTCTGATTAGCCTGGATTCCCTTGATAGTCCCTACTCTTACAGCTTCATCAGATTTATTGAAAAGATTGGGGGAAAAGCAAGCAAATAAACAAAAAACAGGTAGTGTAAGGTTCAACAGAGTTATGGAAGGAGTGACATAGGACTCTTATCTGAACATAATTTTCATTTCTTTTAAGTATAATTTTTATTAAATAATAAATGCACATGATTTTAAAAGGTTGAATAGTACAAAAAGGGGTTTGGGGTTTTTTTTAATTGAAAAACATCAGTCCCTGCCTCTCTTTTGACCCAGCTTTGGTTAAGTATAAAATTCTAGGTTGAAAATTGTTTTCCCAAAGGATTTTGATGGCCTTTCTTCCTCCTGATCTTTTTTGAGCCCCATTTCTCTCTCCTCCTCCTTCCTTTCCCATCCCTTTCTCTCTGGAAGCTTTTATTGTCATCTCTTCTGGAATTCTGAAATTTCATAGGCCTTTTTTCACTCCTTGTGCTAAGAAATTGGGGACCCTTTCTTTCTGGAAGTTTAAGTTCCTCCAATGTTTGGACATGTTTTTATATTATTTTATTGCTAATTTCCTCCTCATCATTTTCCGTGTACCTTTTCTGATTTTCTTAGTCAGATGTTGGATCTTCCAGATTAATGCTATAGTTTTTTAAAATATTTTCTCTCTCTTGTTTTTCTTCTAGGAGATTTGATCAACTTTATTTTTCAGATTTTTTTACATATATTTTTAATATCTAATTAAATTTTTATCTTTTTAAAAAAATTTATTATTATTTTTTTTAGAGACAGGGTCTCATTCTGAGGGTCTCATTCTGTCACTTAGGCTGGAGTACAGTCGTGTGATCATAGCTCACTGTAACCTAAAACTCCCAGGTTCAAGACATCCTCCTGCCTCAGCCTCTGAGTACCTGAGACTACAGGTACACACCACCACACCCAGCTAATTTTTTACTTTTTTATAGTGACAGAGTCTTGTTATGTTGCCCAGGCTGGTCTTGAACTCCTGGCCTCAAGTGATGCTCCCACCTTGGCCTTCCAAAGTTCTGGGATTACAGGCATGAGCTACCACACCCAGCTTCTAATTAAATTTTTTTTTCACCATTTAAAAAATGCAATTTATCTCTAGTTAATACAATGAAGAAGAAAAGAAGTATAATCTAGAACGTATATCTTAGTAATCACAAAATCACTGTTTTAACCTTTGGGCATGATCCAGTTTTATAATATTTAAAGGTAATTTGTTCTCTTTCTTTTTCATAGCAATAAATATATATATATATATGTGTATATATATATATATATGTGTGTGTGTGTGTGTTTTAGTGTTTGGGTTTTTCTTCCTTTTTTTTTTTTTCTTTTAGTTTTCTTCTATTCCTAATCTTGTTTCTATCTTTTGATAGATTTTTTTTCCTCTTCTATTTGTTTTAGTGTCTGGTTCATTGTCATATTTGGAGGCTTTCCCCTAATGCCTGGTACACCTTTGAACCCTAAAATCCACTTGAAAGCCCTATGTCCCATGGATAGGACTTGCCAACTGGTGGACGTGATTATAGGGTGATCAGATGGTGAACTGTTTTCATTGCTGGTGCCATTCAGTTTCTACATAGTAGGATTTGTCTAACTCCTTCCTAAAGGTTGGAGCTGGGAATGAGAGTAGGGTCAGTGCTTAAGTCTATCAGCTGACCTCCAGGAGCCAGGTAGGGGCAGAGGCTGGAGCTCACTGTTCAGTGTGCAGACTTTATTTAATTCCTCTATGTTAGGCTTTACAGCACCCACCCTCTGCTGTGCTTGCCACCCTTGGGTCTCGGTCTCTGTGGCTTAGTTACTCAAGTAAGGGTTAGGGGGAAAGAGTAGTTTCCTGGCTATAGAAGGGGAGGAATAGAAACTCAGAGATCCAATGATTTCTTATACAGACATTTGTTTATACAAATAATTAGTATCTTCTGAGTGTCTGATAGTATTCTAGGTCCTAGTGACAAGCAGTAAACAAAATACACAAAAATTCTAGCCCTTGTGGGGGCTTATATTTTTGTGGACAAGAGGGATAATGGTAGGTGCTGAGGGATAATGGTAAGTACTTTGGGGAAGCAGTGGTGATAAACACGTGTGTTCCATTCGTCATGTTTAACTGGAAATCCATATGTATATTATTTGGGAATATTCAACACAAAAATGCTTAGTGAGCTCAGTTTTTTTCAGTGCAACTTATAGAATTGAAGTTAAAATTATTTTGATAAGAAGTGAG